CAGAGTGCCTCAGGGCATCTGTTGTACAGCTGTATTTAAAACTCAATTATTAATTGCCCTTTTATTTCCCCAGATCGGTTATAAAAATGGTATTCCTTTCTGTGATTTTTTTTCTTTTGTCAGCGTAAACTCAAAGTACTCTAGTAATATTAAAGACGTCCTTTCTCTGTAAAGAAAGTGTGGAGTATCTCGTTACTCTTGGGTATGATTGCGTAACCACCATTTTTGTATAGTGAGGAATCTGTTTAGTCAACATATTTATTCACATGCATGAATGTTTTCAGAATCAGGACTGAAGTCACTGCTGATAGTAAAAGACTGATCTTTCAGAGCTTTGTACGAGTAAGATAGGAATGCTTTTGTATCTGATCAATTCTTTAAAGTTTCCTCCTTTTTATTAGGTCACAAGACCCAGTAGCTACAACAAGAAATCCCATTTTGATATTGAAGATGTTGATGAAGTTGACAAAATGGAGATTAGGTAATATAAACCACTTTGTACTAATAAACCTGTCTTCCAAAGTTGTGTAACTTTGTAGTAGACTCAGTTTTCAAAGTGACAAGCATTGTTTTACTGTTCATAAATCTAGACGAGTCTTTGTCACTGTATATGTATGCTCCTTTACCTCCACTGTCCTGTACATGTGTGTGAATATGTGACAGTTCTTCTGCAGGTGAAATCCTCATTATTTTCCCCGGTATCCTGTATACACTGTGTGTATACTAACACGCAGTTGGCGTTAAGTGCGGCCTTTTATGCCTGGGCTCCCCTTTCCTCCCTCTTTCAGTTTCCCAAGAGAGCCTAGAAGCTCTATGATGCCTTCGGTTATGTTTTCTTTTATCACTTAATTTTAGCAACCCATATAAGGTCCTTCTTCCCTGAAAGGAAACTGTTGAGCTCAGTGTTTCTCTGGGGCAGAGGCAGTTTCTCTTTTTTGCCTACCAGACTTTAACCCATTCTTGCAAGGCTGGGTATGATTTACGTGAAATCCATTGCACAGGAAAGAAGCAACTGATTTGAAAACCAAAACAACCCCACCCTACCTCCTGCCACCCGCTTAGTACTATTTTAGAACCTACTGAGCCTTGTCAACAGGGTCTGTGAGGACAGGTGAATAGAAAGAGTGGAGAGAAAACAATAGAAGGTGCAAAACGCAAAGGGTATCACATGCATCATACCATTGAAACTTAGATCTGGTGATCTGGATGCAGTGTAGCTGAAAAATGCTGTATCTGCATCAGGTGGTGCGAAATTCCCCTCTCCTGTACGCTATGATTTGGAGGAAGACCGGTTCAGGGAGAATGGTGGCACCCTCTTCCTCCTCAGGTATTCCCACCAGAGAGGTGGTGAGGGCTTATCTCCCAAAATATTCCCTAGTCCCTTCAGGAGCACAGTTGGCTGTAAGAAAAGGAGGAGAGACCAGGAAGGGGGGAACAATACTTATTCCCAGAAAGCAAGACCCATCTGTGTTCACAAATGAATGGATGAGGGCTGTTCTAATTTGACAGTCAGCTGCTGGTTCATGTAGCCTGTTAGTGTACTATCACAGCACTACAAGACCATTAATGGATTTGTGTTTGCTGTGGCTCTGTGAGATGGGAAATTATTTGTATGTGAGAGGGACAAGAGCTGTACTCTGGTTTTCTGAGAACATCTGCATCAGGCAGTGCAAGGGTTTAAGGGCAACCCAATTCACAGGAGAAAGAGCAAAGGCCCAGGTTCAGTGCCATGCTGCTTTGGTGATGTCAGCGTGGGAGCACAACAGATGACCTAGTCCTAGCACCAGACTATACTTCTGCAAAGCTTTGTATGGTGGAGGCAGGTATGAAGTACCATGTCCCATATACCATGGGATGTATATGATGGAATGGGTGACTGAACAGTGTCTTGAGAGTCCCAGTCTAGTCTTTATAGCCATGATGTCCAGCCATGCGCTGATTTTAAATGAACGCTAGGATTCTCTGATAGTTTTGTGATTCTGGAAGGAGACTCTAGACATTGGTGGACAGTGGTTACACATTGTTTAATATTTCAGTTGATTGTTATTTTGTGCAACCGGACTGAATGGAATTATACAATTGCTCTACTTGCTAAGTATATTTTCTGGACCAATGACTGTCTACAGTGATAATGTATGTGGAGCTGAGCTTCAAAGAAGTCTTTCATTTCTTAAAACCAACACATGATAGTGGTAAAGATTAATAGCTTGTGAGGAGGCTTACAAAATAGTTGGGGAAAGATTTAGCACTTAAATAATAGACAAAAGCAGATGAAGTGTTAGTCTTGGTTGGGCAAACTCTTTGCTCAGAGGTTTTGTCCGCTATAGGACAGAGTGTTTTTGTTTCCATCTCAGGTTCCCCTTCCACCCCCGCTTACTTCCTCCAGCCTGTTTAGTCAGAGTTAGATTGCCTCCATGCCCTCTGGATGGATCATACAATTTATGGGCTTGGGGGTTTGTTTTCTTTTTCTCTCCTGAGAAAATGCCATTCCACAGGGTACAGAGGAGACTTAGTCTCTCATGATTTTTCTCTAAAGCTATGAAAGTTTCTCTTTTTGAGTGGGTGTAGGAAGTTGCAGGCAGGGCATGTCAACACTTAGGGACCAGATGTTCTGGTGAAATTCATTGTTTCTCCTCCCTCCCTCTGCTGTTTCTTTCTTTCCGAGACTACAGTCTGAGCAGTTTTAGAATAACACTTGCCATAATTTTGCCTTCTAAAAACCTCAGGAAACAGTAATCTTTTAGACTCTGAGGTCTGTGTATTACGATTTTTAAAATGCTGCTTATGCTTTGTACTCCAAGTGCAGAAAAGAATAATTTCAGACTTTGCATGCCTACATTGCTTACTGTATAGTGTGAGATCTACCTTAAGTTGTTAGTTCCTCTCCTACACATCCTTTGCATTGATTTTTTTTCTCAACACGTTGCTGTAGGGGAACACCCTTTGGCTGCATATGTTGGAAAATTTTTTTGCTAGTGGGCATCTTGAAAGAATTTGGATAAACTAGAAACCAGTAGCCTGTAAATACTTGGTAAATTGTAAGTTTGACTGTGTGTAAATAAACTTCTCAAAAGATTCCTCTCCTCCTGAAGCTGCTTTTAGCCATCTGAATTAGTTAGCAAGATAGTAACCAACCAGATATGGAGACAAGGGATGGGGAGGTTGAATTTCCAAAGAAGTTTTTTTTTTTCCTTTTGGGGAATTCTTGCCCTGCAGAAATACTGTCAAAATATCAGAGTTTGAAGAACTTAACCCAGCAGGCATGCAATGTGAGGTGATGGTATGTCTAGGGTATGAAACTTCATGCATGAGACGCTGTTGAGAGATACAAGGCTCAGAAGATTTAGAAGTGCCATCCTCTGTACTTGCATAAGGTAGGATAAACCTTTAGCAGGACTATTCACGTCCATTCTTTGACAAACCTACTGTGACTTGCTTGAGACTAGAAAGGTTGTGTAAATATGTCTGTAAGTGAATGACTTTGCACTTTATCCAAATTAAAGTTGCTCTTCCAAAAATCTTCATTATTTGAAAACCTATATTTTTTCCTATATATCTTTTTCCCCCAAAGTTTAAGGCATGTTCAGGCTGTCACTTAGCTTCAAAATTCCCAGCTGAGCTTGTTTTAAAATAAAAATGCTTCTCAGAGGAAACCTTAAAAAATATACAGAAACAGCTACCCTGGAGTTTGAAACCCTTGCTCCAAGGTGGGTATTGCAGCATTTATGTAAAATGCCAGGTTAGACACTAGTGCTTCTACTTTGAATCTCAGTGCAGTTGCTTTACATCCTAATGTTAAAGAGCATGTGAAAGGGAAGGAGGCGTCATCTAGAGATACATACCAGAAGTTCCAAAACCTGAGGACTGAGTGCCAAAAATTGTGTAGGCTTCAGTCAATACGCTGATTATGCAGAGAGGTAGAACTGTCATAAGCTTTTGAGTATTCGTACAGAACTTGTTTAGGTGCAAAAAATTTGTAAGCTTGACACAGTGAGTCTTCCCAGGAGCTAGAGCACTGGTAAGGACTGTGTAGACATTCAGCCTAACTCTGTAAAGCTGCTGCTTGGCTGCTAAATCCCAAATTAGACCAGGACTGACAGTATGGAGTCCTTAAATATCTCTACGCTTTATCCCCTGGTGTGCATTTTACTGGTATTTTTCTATTATGTGGGATAGCCAAAGAGCCCCCTGAATCTTTATCAGTGTGGATAATGGAAACAGTACAGATGAGGGAAAGGTAGTCTAGGTGATTTTTTTTCACTGATATTTCATGAAGGTGAATTGCACGGCTCTAGAAATCTAAGGTAAGGTTATCTCTTTACTGCTTGGAAACCATTGTTGTTCAGTTTCAAGACTTTCTAACTCATAGGCTTGAGGGGAAAAGCAATGACAAAATTGAAAACAAGGTTGGGATTATTTGGTTTTATTTCTTTTATTTATTATGAATCTTTTAAAATTATGTGGTTTTATTACAGAGTTGATCTTTGGAATGCCAGTAACTTGAAGTTTGGAGACGAGTTTCTAGGAGAACTGAGACTCCCTTTGAAATTTCTCCGACAGTCTAGTTCTTACGAAGCATGGTATTTGACATTTTTCTTTTGGAGAATAAGTAGAAACATATGTCTGCTCTGAAGACTTAAGAGTAATTACTGCTATGTGATAAAGTTTAAATGGATTTAATTTGTATCTTTTTTGTAAGCAAGCCAAAGTAATCTTAGAAATGTAAGAACAAGAAGTTTTGATGTTATGAGAGATTTCAGTCTGCCTCTGTATTGCATGTGGAAGTTCTAATACATTGACTTTATGATATTATTTACTGCAGTTCATCAGCAGTGCCATAGTTTTAGTCTGTGGGGTTTAAATCATATCTACATAAATCTTTATGATTAGATCTTCCCATGTTGCAGTTGGTGCAAAATAGACTGGCAAACTTAATTAAAAAGTCTGATTCAGAACTCTCAAGAATTTGATACATATATAAATATTGTGTGCATCTATACATTTTATATAAGTTCATGTATAGCCTGAGATAATCTTGAGTTTCAGCACAAACTTTCTGTCTTACTTTTTGCATATCAGGTATTTTCTGCAGCCCAGAGATAATGGTAACAAGTCATTGAAGCCTGATGACCTCGGTTCCTTAAGGTTAAATGTGGTTTACACTGAGGACCATGTTTTTTCCTCAGACTATTACAGTCCACTTAGAGACCTCCTGCTAAAATCCGCAGATGTCGAGGTAATTTGCTTGCACTCCTTGTTGTTTACCTGCAGATCATCCTCACAGGGGTCTCTCTGAAGATATTTGTCACTATCTTGCTGCCACCATAGTTGTGTGATTACCAGAGACTTCAGCTTCCTTTTCAGACCTGAGGGCCTTGTTAACCTCTGCATATCCCTGGTGCTTGTTTTCAGTCCTTGCAGAGAAGATCTTTATCTGCATGCAGTATGGTGGGTGAAGGCACACCCAGGACACCAGTGGTTTTAGCAGCACATTCTCCGTGGCTTTCTAATTTTACATGTGAAAATGCAAAGTAAACTTCAGTTTGATCATTTGGTTTTCCTTTACTGGAGAGAAACAGGTTTACTTGCATAATTAAAAAAACAACAAACCCAAACCAAGAACTAATCTAGAAATATCAGAGAGTTGGACACCATATGTGTGATTATGTATACTTTTAGCAGTTTAACAGTGCTTTTATTTTTTTCGGTACAAGAACTGGGTTCTGTACTTACTGTGGCTTGAAATTGAGCAGGATTACAGTTCTTCCTCTTCACTTGCTTCTCAGGCAACAGTGACATTCAGTGAAAAGACAGCTATTGAAAATGGGGAGGAAAAAAGAGACTACTATAATAGTTTTTAAATTGCTGCCCTCTTGCGATCAGAACTCACAGCCAGCAAAAGCTGGAATGTAACGCCCATCAACGTTATGTACAGGCAGGTTTGGGTAACTAGCCATTGCAACTATTGTGTGGGATTCTGCATTGAGGAGCTAATGGGAAAAGAAAGAAAGGATGCTTGTTCTGGGAAGATCTCTCAAAGTTTTTATTTCTTTCCACTGTTCAGCCTGTTTCAGCATCAGCTGCACACATTTTGGGTGAAGTTTGCAGAGAAAAACAGGAAGCAGCCATACCTCTTGTCCGGCTTTTCTTACACTATGGCAGAATTGTGCCTTTCATAAGTGCCATTGCGAATGCTGAAGTGAAGAGAACTCAGTAAGTACCAAAACCCAAATTGCTGTCAAACATACCTACTCTGCGTTGGCTGGCATTAAGATCCTCCACTCGGTTTCTAGAACTAGAACTGTGTAATTTCAAAAGAAACAGTTGGAGTTGTCCCTGTTCCTCCCAGCTGAGTGGCAGAGTTCTTTATAAACATATTCACTGCTCTGAAAATCTGCCGAGATTGATTTTAGGAGGAATTCCCATCTTGCTTTACGAAGTCTACTTGCAAGACTATTGTAAGGTCTTGAGAGCAGGGTTTTTCACTCTTGTCGGTCTTAATTTTATTTGATGATAACTGTGACATCCTACATTACCTTCAGCTGTTCGTATGAAATCATTTCAGCTTTATAGTGTGCTAATAAATCATCTAGTGGCGAGTAAAAGTGTTTGTTGAATTTTTTCAAATCAAAAAGCAAGTTTCTTCCTAGTCATGAGTATTTAAGGCAAGCTGTGTGTCTAATCTTTCCAATTAGAGGGCTGAGGAACAAAGATGGATTGGATCTAGCAGTGGATAGCAGAAAACAAAATCTTTTTTCTGGTCACTTCGTATAAGTCTCTTGTTTGACTTACTGGTGTGCTGACAGTTTAGTAGTGTAAGATCTAGTATTCACACCAGGCAGGTCCTAACGAGCATTTGTTGCCACAAGCCTCATGCCAAGTCGTGCTCTTGACTGACAGTAGAAGAGACAATTGGGAGTCAAGGAGAATGACAGATACTGACTCTAAAGTAACAGCTTCCTCAGCACAAAATAAAGTCTTTGTGTGGGTTGGCTTTTTTTGGAGTGTCTAAAAGATAGAGTGTTTTCTTCCTTTAGGTAGCTGTATTTTTTCTGTGCTGCAGGTTAGCTGAAACAGCTTGGTTGCTGCAGTATGTGGAAATTTGCTTCCTAGTCAGTCATGTTCCTGTGATAAACCAGCAAACATGGTGTTTGTTTTCAGGGCTTTCTGGCATTTGTAACAGGGAGTGAGCTTACTTTTTTATGAGACAAAATGATGAATCCATCAAAGTAATTCATCTTGTTATTCACTGCTTGTAAAAGAGTACAACTGTAGTAAGCTATAAACAACAGAAAAGACATCAGTGTGTGTACAAGAATAAGCAAATAACTTCATATCCAAGTTTGATCTGCTGTCAGTAGGCACAGGCTTTGACCGTATGGGTGTAGATGAGATCATTGATTATGTACCTATCTGCATAACGTAAATTGCTACACAAGGAATTGCAGGTACAAAACTAATAAGAAATTGCTTGCATTCTCGAAATGCAAGTAATACTAAAAAAATTAACACAATAGTGCTGCTAGGTAAATCTTAACTAATTACAGTGACTGCATGTCTAGTATGAGAAGAATTCAGTGCAAGTAGCCTTTCAGAAAAATGTAAAAGTCTGCACGACATCAACTATCCACACAGTTCTCAGGGCAGAATTGGGGTCTGCGCTGTGTTTAATAGTGTTATCACAGGACAGTGCTGTAAGCCACTTAGAAAAGATGACTGTGTCATTGGAGCTGGTGTTTTCATCTCCCTCCCAGCTTACAAGTATTCATTTTGTAGGTGAAGGTGGTAGGTCACATGTGATGTCCAGGGTTGTTGTGAGACTAAAATCACTGCCTCCTTCCCTTACTCAAATTAATGCTGTTCAGTGAAAGCGGGCGCATTTCCCCCTGTTTATATTGTAAAGCCCTTTGATTTGAACCTGCGTGTTGCTGTGTGTTTGGATGGTGCACTGAGCTGCTGCGCTAATAGGAAGAAGAAAATCTGTAGTCCCTCTGGACTTACCATGACTACTGCTTTTCTGTTATAACCTGGCAGTGCACTAAATGCTATGTGAGTGCATTTAGTGGCAGGCTGGTGTCAAAGGGAGTTTTTTGCTTGTGCATTCAAACTCAGATTTCCGTAACCTTTCACCACTTCTTTTATTTTCATATATTAGTAGTTTATTACAAAGAGACTAAATTACAGAAAATTGTTCATTTCCAGAGATCCAAACACCATTTTCAGAGGAAACTCATTAACTTCCAAGTGCATTGATGAGACAATGAAACTGGCAGGGATGCATTATCTGCAAGTTACACTAAAGCCAATTATAGATGAGGTAAGAGCAGTTTAGACTGTTTGTTTGATAAAATGTCCCTGTAAAAGGCCTTCAGGGAGCAGATACTGTTTATTCCTTCATGTTTTAAGATGACTTTGTAGGAATAATGCTTAAGAGCCTGTTTCTACATTAAAATCCTATGTGTTAGTTTAGCCACAGCTGAGTCACCCAATTCAGTTGGATTGTATTAAAGGCTATTGAAAGTTTCAATTTATTTAACTGAAGTACGTTGTTTTAGAAAATTAACATTTATTGTTTCTGAGAAATTAATAAACTAATAACTTAGATGAATAAAGAATATATGCAGCAGAAAGCTGCTGGGAAGCTATAAGTAATGCATTTCATCCAGTGGATATAAAGGAATAAAATTATTCTTAGATAACTGTGAATGTGATGCATATATTATAACAATGGTTTATTATCTATCCAGTCCAGAATGGTGGGTGTGGGTATTTTAGTGCAGTAATTGGGCAATACTTTGAGACCACAGACTTCCTTTAAATGATTTGACAGTTTCATCAGCTGTTGTTTTAATGTTTCATCAAAAAAGTCAAGTTTTAATAGAGTATAGATATACTTTCAAAGTTGACTGTTTTGGCAAGACAGGACTTTTCTTGAACAGCCTTGCTTGAGAGAGTCTTAACAAACAATTCTTCATTTCAGTTGAAGGAAAGGGTAGAACAAATTAATGCTAATTTTTTGGGGAAAAAAAAAAGGTCACAGGTAACTCACCTTTGGTGCTTTGTCAAAAGAAAAAAATTATAATTTATAATGTTGGCTTTTACCCAAAAAAACTAACAGATTATGCCTTTTACAAAACTTTTTCTACTTGAAGGTAAACTAATATATTAAGTGTTCACTATTTTTTCTTTTTTCTAGATCTGCCAGGTCCATAAACCTTGTGAAATTGATCCTGTGAAATTAAAAGATGGTGAAAACCTGGAAAATAACAGGGTATGCATTAGATTTTGAAGATACAATCTCTGTTTACACTATCAAGTTTAACTGAGGTCCTCAGACGTTTGATGTTGCAAATAATTTTGCCATTCATTAGAATATACTGGAAGCTTTCTTAACACCACAAACTGTTATAATTATTTTACAATGGCTTTACATTATGCTATAAATATGTTATCTGTAGAATGTTAATCATTTCTGCCCTGCCCTTGAGGACAAGGATAACTTAGCCTGTGGCTCTACTGTTGACGTAGAAAATGGTGCTACAAAAAGGAATGATGTGCCATACAGTCATATCACTTGATGTTTGATTTTGATAGGAATAATTTTTTTAGTCTTGTACTCAAGTATGTGCATTTACCAAAGAGAGTGTCATTAGGGTGAGATTGTTTTGCAAGTATATAATGTTGAAAGTGAGGATCTTTTAATGATGCCATTATGAATAAAACCAGGAACAGTACTGCTTTCTATAGCAAAAAATGATCCTAATTTTGTCATAACCATTGCATTTTTCAGGAAAATCTGAGGCAATATGTTGATCGCATTTTTACTGTAATTACAAAATCTGGTGTAAGCTGCCCTACAGTGATGTGTGATATTTTCTTTTCACTGAGAGAATCAGCTGCCAAACGTTTTCAAGGTGAGTTTCTATGTATTGTTTTATTTTACATCACTGATAGCTTTTAAATGTAGAGGTAGTCTAGCAGTCTGCATCGTTCATGATGTATTTAGTAATTGAACAACTGTTTATCCAAAATACCATTTGGAGTGTGTATTAATACTGGCTTTTCCTTGATCATTCATTCCGCAAAGAACATGACTTTTAATAATTGTAAGAGTTTTTCCTAAACATCTCTCCAAAGGAAAACAGCATTGAAAAAGAGCATTATGATGGTAGGTATTTATAGTTTCAAGATCTGCAAAGTATGCTTAGTTTTCAAATGTTCAGGTTTTTGTAATGGCTCGTTCTGCAGATTCCATGCAGCTGAATTATCTTCTGCTCATACATCAATCTGTATTAAAGGCCAGTCTATAAATTATTGGAGTCATTGCAAGCTCATTGCCCTGGGAGGGCCATGTGCTGCAAAGGTTTTCTGGCTGTCAAGAGAGAATTCTTTCCCCTCCATCCTAGTTGTTTTGGCTCTGTGAGAATGAGTAGACAATATAAAAATGGAATTGAGCAAAACAACTAACCCATGTATTTTCATGAAGGGAAGCAGATCCCTTCAGATTATTAGAGTAATATGGGTTCAGCTTTTAAATGGTCACTTCACAGTAGAGAAGCTCAAGCAGAAAGCCATTGATTGTGCTGTCGTGCTCTTTATTTTCTGTATAAATAAATAAATAAATTGTATTTTCTGTAATTACTAGCTGGAATAGATGCATTAGGAGTCTGTACAACACTTGTGCTCGGGGCTATAACTAGGTAACTGAGAGTTGGCCTCTATGTTGAAGGGTTTCACAAACTATGCAAGTTACTCATCATACTTCAGTTGCATTGATGGAATAGCAGATGTTTGTATGAAATTTCCTGTGTGGTAGAAAAGTGAATGGTGTTCTCCTTGTAGCCTGTGTCAGGAACTCACCTCTTTTTTAAAAGGCTGTCATTGACATTTCCTTGGTTTATGGTAGCCGATCCCTGGCTCCAAATCCTCCATCATCAGTTAATCCTGTAACTCCCAAATATGTACGTTTCCAGCACATGCCTGACTTAGCTTTCTGAAGGCATTCTGATAATTTCAGAAGGTTTTTAAGGAAGGATTATTGAAATGCTGAGTAGAGGTCTTTTTCTTCATAGGTGACCTAGATGTGAGGTATACAGCTGTCAGCAGCTTTATTTTCCTGAGATTCTTTGCTCCTGCCATTCTTTCTCCAAACCTCTTTCAGCTCACACCACACCATCCAGTAAGTACTGTATCAATTTTTTCTAGCTCTGGATATGGTTCTGTCACCATAGTCTGTCTATCAAGATTCTTTCTTCAGTTCTTTTAATAGCCTTTAGGAGAAGTACCTTTGTTAGTTCAAAGATCTGCTATGTCTCTTTTGGATATGAAGCATATGTTGAATGACTGTGTACATGAGAACCTGGGAGATATGGGAGGAACAGTGAAATTTAAGGACAAACAAAGTAGATGGTCTAACCTGCTGTGGAAAAGATGGTCACTGCTTCATTTTTGCCTCATTACATTAATGCTGGATTGATTGTCAGCGATGTTGCAAATGTTTTGGATGTTAAGCAACTTATCCAAGACTTATAGTAGTTATTCTTATTGTGAGTGGGGAGGACCCAGACAGTCTGCAACACAGAAATCTCTATTTTTGTTTTGCAAGTGATTGCCTTTGGTTCTCTGAAGAGCAATAGGGTAGCTATGAAGCATGATGGCTTAAGAGTCAAAAGCATTTTAAAAAAGTAAACTTTTCCTGTAGTGTTTTATTGTTTTTTTTCTAATTTTATGTTATTTTTCTGCAAGTGAAATAGAAAGAAGAAATATAGTTTACCTTCCTCTATTCCATATTTTAAATAGCTAGTCCATATAATACTGTTCTCTTTCCTAGGATCCTCAGACATCTCGAACTTTGACACTTATCTCTAAAACCATTCAAACACTAGGCAGCCTATCAAAATCTAAATCTGTAAGTATGCCATTTTCATTTAAAAGCTGAATTTAGGAAAGAGATTTTTTATTATTATTATTTTAATCTTTTATCATGATTGTAATTAAGCCTTTAAAATGCTTGAGTTGCACTAGGCTTATGCAACACTGGTTATGATTGCTTTGATTATAAGTCTCTCATGCTCACAGGAAAACTAAATCTGTCTTAATCTGAGCTAGATTTCAGTAAAGCAAAATTGTGTGACCAACCTAGAAGTCTATTCCAGGGCTTTTCCTTCCTTCCTTCTGGAAGAAAGATAGTGATCAGGAAAACCCATGAAGTTCTCTACTTGCCTCCAGTACATGATAGCAGCACTACAGGGTTTTACAGATTGTTTCAGCATTTTAAAGCTCAACTGGGAAGAATTGCCCAGTAAGGGGAAGGGCTATGCTTTTCTTTTCATACCAGTTCACTTTTCTACCAGTGGCGAGATTAGATCTAAATGCCCATGCTCTGGATGTTTGATTGAAATAAAACTCATGTACCTAAGGCATACCACTGCTATATCTGGTGATAATTTGGGGTCGCTGATGGTCTAGTTAGGATTCACACAGGCAACTGTAGATGAATCTGTACCTCAATTACAAATCCTTCAAGACAACAGAATTCATTCCTTCTCTCGTACTTGTTGTCAACTTCTTTTAGGACCAAGATTAAAAGTCAAAGCAGAAGTTTGAGGCTTCCGAAGAATGCATTATTAACCATTTGAAATGCGTTCTGCTACCTTTTTGGAAAAAAAAATAAAATGGTACTACTAAATGTGTGCTGTCCAACATAAAAGTAGCGCTTTGCTTATTTTACCTCTGGCCGGAAAAAAAACCTTGCAGTGACTTGCCTCATGATCTACTGCTGTTAACAATAATATTTTCTGTATAAACTGTATTATGATATGCATGGCTTTCGCTTTGTATTCCAGGCCAATTTCAAGGAATCCTACATGGCTACTTTTTATGACTATTTTAATGAGCAGAAATATGCAGATGCAGTAAAAAATGTAAGTAATGCATGTGAATTTTCTGAAAATCCTGCTGTATTATTGAAGCTGATGTTCAGAATTCTAGAATGTAACATATACTGTATGTAAACCAGGAAGCATGTGCTGGAAAAAGCAGACTCCTGATAACTGTGATATTCAAGAAACTTTTATCAAATTATGTACATGTCAATAGTAGAATCTCTTTGGATCTACTTCTACTTAATAGTTAGGTTGAATTAACAAGCTGCTGCTTAGAGCTTGAGACGTGTGCGTGCTTCATAGGATGCTGCCGATCTGGGATGAAAATTGCTTAGTCCAAAAGGAAGTGAAAGATACGTGTAACAAAGAAGCAGCACAAGAAGTGTCGGTCATCTGCAGTTTTTTCTGCTTAAGAGCATTTGTGCTATTTTTATTTTACAACCCAGGAAACCTCCCAAATTCCTCAAGCTTCTGTCATTACCTTCTGTTTAACTACTTTTACAATATTTTCTTGTAGCTCCGTGCTGTACAAATGTTAAAGATTTTAATTTGGGTTGGTCCTGTGCAGTCCTGTCATTTTTATCTATGCTTTTTGTTCCCCTTTTAGTTTCTAGATTTAATTTCATCTTCGGGAAGGAGAGATCACAAGAGCATCGAGCAACCTATATTGCTTAAAGAAGGGTAAGCATGCATGTGCAACAAACCCCTCTGCTTGCGTGCTTACTACCATTCTAAGGCAGCTATTTTTTTTTCCGCCACTCCTATTCCATCCATGTGTTCAGAGAAGAATGTAGGAAGATTCTTGTGTTGCTATTTCTACTCTCTGTGGCTGCTATAGCTGATTTTAACATCTTTTCATTTGATTTAAATGTCTTAATTTGAGTATGTTCTGAAATAATTGGAGAAAAAAGAAGCCTGTAGAACTTAATTAGCACAGCTAAGCAAAATAAACTTATATCAGCATTGCATTAAAATCAAATTGATTTTTTTTTTCTGAACTCAAGTGAACAAAAGCTGTAAAATTCCACTGTGAAGGCAGATACTGAATATCTTCGTGAGGGCAAAGCCTGCAAATGGAATTTGCTTTTGTTGCTGTGTAAGATCCATATGCTAATCATTATCATTGCCATTTCAAGGAAAATTTGTGATGCACTTGGAACAGTTTCTAGTTTTACTACCTTTCCTTTTTTTGGAAGTGTGTTCCATATGCTGTATTAGTTTTAGATACTAATTGTTGACATTTTTTGTGTTACAAAACCGAGTTGTTAAGATCATCTAAGTGCACTGTGGAAACAGCTTCTTTGAGCTGGGAGGAAGAAAGTAAAAAAAATGGAAATTCTTCCTGTCAGAGCTCAGTAAGCTGAACTGCTGCTTGAAAGTAAGCTTTCATGGTAGCTTGCAGTCATGCAAAAATTAGGGTTTCGGTCAAAACATGACTACCCTTTCCAGTTAACCTCTGCAGTTCACTTCATGTCTCTGATGAGCATCTGTCCCTAGAAGCAAGTTTGTCTATTTTAATTCTGTACACTTATCATTTTTTTACTTTTGAAAATAAATGTATGGTTTGCAACATTTTCCCTCTAACTCTAAAACATTATTTTTTCTGCCTCTGTCTTTCTTTTGCTCCTGTCTGATTTTTTTCTGTCTTTTCTTGCTCGGCCTGTGGCTGCTGTTGTAAGGACTCTTAAACTAACAGTAAAGAAAGTTGATGGTAATAGTTCATGCAGGTAAGATGGTAGGGGCAGTCGGTGCTTTGCTGTAGCTACCGGCTGACAGCATGTCCTTCCTTCGCAGCAATAGACTTGTCCGACTTAACGTCGGGGAGGAAGTACTCTGTTTAACAATCCTGAAATGCCTGTGTAAACCCAGCAGAGAGCATTTTGTTATCTATTTCTTGATGTTGACCAACTCCTTTTTTTTTTTGTTTCTTTTTTTTTCCTTCCTTAAAACAAAAACCTGCTGTAAATAGAGAATAAAGGAGTTTTATCTGTAGGGAGAGGCTCCAAGAAACACTGAGATTTGCCTCAGATTCACTGAGATTCAGTGTGTAGATCCCAGTGAACTCACTGGAAGTGATTAAGAAGTGGCCATACATTTTCTGGGCACTTCTTAAGTAGCATTCACATAAATTGTTCTGGAGGTTAAGGAGTTGCCTTCAGCTGTCTATTTTTCCTGACGTTTTGAATTATTGCCATGCTATATCATGGGGAGTGGGTGGGAATTTTCACAGCCTTTGATTTGATTCTTCTCCAGATTGATTGGCTGGTTAGTGGGGTTTCTGTTTGCCTTTGCAATGTTTTTGTTTGCTTTTGGTTATTTAATCTATCTTTGCTTCTATTAAGAGTATCTAGATGGAAAGCTATAGCGTATGTACTTTTGAATGAACGTACAGTACCAAAGATTAGTCACTGGCACTTGGGTTTGCTGGCATTGATCATGCCATCGCTGTTTAACAGCTGTCTGCCTAGTTCTTTCCAAAAGGAAGAGAATTAAAAGGAGAACTAGTCCTGCCGTTCCTGTAGGTGAAAGGGGCATGCTGACGCTTCCAAGCAAGGCTAAGGCAAATCCAAACTCAGGTCTACCATAAACATGAGTAGAAACAGTATCTCCAGCCACCCAGCACTGGAATGGGTTTCATCTTAGACTTTTTTTCCCTTTGTGCTTCCTACTACTTGCTCCAACTTCTCACACATTCTGCAAATGTTAGAAACAAAGAAATCCTTTAAATTGACCTTATAACTTCTGTGTCTTTCAGTGGTTGTCACCTATCTGTGGGACACATAAGATCATTCTTCTCTTGGCTATGTCAGCTATGAAGTCACGTTTAGTCAGAAGTGTGCTCTTAGCTCTGCAGTATGGAGTTTGCATTTTTCAAAGGGGGAGGCACTGTAGGAGTTTGCAGTTTTAAGTCACCTTTTAAGTGTTGGCATGAGAAGGAAGAGAAACTAACTTGAAGAGCATATTGTCCCGCCCGAGGATATCTGCTCTTCCCTTGAAATTTGCCTTAACCTTGAAATATGAAGACTACCACCAGTGGGCCTGGTGATGACCTGAATCACCTGGTTTTATTAAATATTTCTCAAGTAATCCAAGAATAAGGACTAAGACAGTAACTGTCTGACCATTTAAGAATGAGAGGTGTGTAACTATAGTTTAAAAGAAATCAGTTGCTGTATACGGGCCTTTGCAGCTTTTGCCCACACAACTTGGAATGGGTGGCAGGCACCATCCCAGCTGGTTACAAAACAGTAACAGTCTGAAGGAACTTGGGTTTCTGTTTGAGCTTCAAACAAACCTCTGGTTCAGTTGGATGCAATGTAGTTGTTTCTGACTGAAGATGCCAGAGGCAAGAAACAGTATCAGCTGTTCTAAGTATTTTAGCTCTGCTATTGAAAATCTTCAACCAAATCATTTGCTGTTCTCTCTGTGTGCTCTTTGTGCTGTATAGTGCCTTCCTACTTGATAAAAACTACTCTGTAGTAAGTAGTTTTTACTGGCTCCATTATATGATTCTGTATTGGGCACAATAGTTAATGGAATGTGTAGAGTAGCTGTTATCAACTCTCTACTGCGTATGCATACACATTTTTTTCCACCCAAAGTGATGCTGAGCAGTATGAAGTCACTAGGCTTTCCAAAGTCACCTTGAGGCTTTTGGATTGATTTAGTGATTAGGAAGGTGGCGGATGCATCACAGTTTCTTGTAAGCTAATTCAAGTTTGAAATTAATTAAAACTGACAACTCACTAAATTAATATCCCTCCTCTACCAAAAAAGTGGGGGGATAGGGGGTTCTAGCTTTCAGCTGTCAGATTGCTTTGTATGTTATTGAAAATGCATTTCCAACTGCAGCATCAATGCGCAATTGCAAATGGAACTGTGGAACGTCCTGGTTTTGCTTCTAGAGCTTGAGAGTGACTAAAGCATGCAAGGGTACAGTCCCTGTGCTCCAGAGGCCTTACACCTGCCTTTTAATTATTAAACATACTCTAAAACTTTTGAGCTTTCTCACAGCTTTAAAAAAATTACAGAGTTAACCAGTCAAGCTTAGCAGAGGAGTACTAACCATGTTCTGCACTTTTTCTGCTGTAGCAGGAAACCATTTAGCTGGATTTGTAACTAAGGAAAGGGCACAAGCTGCAGTTCAGCTAACTAACTAGAGCCCCTACGTAGACTCCAAGTGAAGCTACGTGTCTTGACCCTTACCTAGCTCTGGAAAAAGTACAGGCTTAACTAACAGATGCACTAAACCTATCCAAATGTGACTTTCTTTTCCTTGTCGTGACAAAACCTCAGTAATTAGAAAACGCTGTGTGTCCCCTCCTAAAGCTTTGCAAGTGCAATCATGTATGTGTGTGTATATATATGTATATATTTGTAAATCTATATACATAAATACATATTTTATATGTATGCATATATCTGTATGCATGTATATATAAAATCTGGTGTATTGTAACAACTGTTGTCCTGTTTACTAGGTTCATGATCAAGAGAGCACAAGGAAGAAAACGATTTGGTATGAAAAACTTCAAGAAGAGATGGTTTCGCTTGACAAACCATGAGTTTACCTATCAGAAAAGCAAAGGTAACAGAGGTTTGCCAGTCTTTTTTTGACACATTAAAGCAAAGATTAAACATAAGGATTGTGTAAGAACAGAAGATTGAGATCTAGATCTGTAACTGTATCAGCCTGTATGTTCTTGCCCTTTTTTTAGTCTGTCTGTACTGATTGTTAGAGAAGCTTCTTAGATCGCACAGTACCCTATATATTAGCATAATATTTGGTAATATTTGTCTAATTGTAGCTTTCACAGTTACATAGTAGATTGTCCAAGGAAACAAAACTCAGGATACAATTACCTTACACTGGGATTTGGGTTTGTATTGAACATTCTCAGATACATCTCAGCTTGATCTTATAAATTCTGTCACACTGGCACAACTGGCTGCAATAGACAGGGTTTTGCCTGCAAGCTTTGAACTTGCAAAAATGTGTTCACTTAATGTTGCTTAATATCAAAGATTTTGCTTTTCGCAAATTGTTCCTGTCTGTTCAGTAGTACACAACAAATACTGCTTCCTTCCCTCATATAAATACATAGGGATTGAGAAAGATAAGGAAACATATTTGGATCATTCCAGTCATCATTTCACACTCAACTTTGAGGTCTTACGTCACTGCCATCAACCTAGTTCAGTTGAGCTGACAGGAATGATTTCTTTCATTGTCACCTTCTCAGGAAATATACCACGTCCTGCTGCAGCAGTCAGCCTCTAAGAGGTTTGCTAGCATAATGTAGTGCAGCTGAAAACAGAAATGAACTTAAGATAATACTTAAGGACCATGCTAGTAAATCCCTGCTGAGTGAAAGATTTTTTTTTTTTCCCTTGTGCGGTCAAAATGATTTTCAAAGGAACTGAATCAGCTGTTAGAATAAGGACAGAGGGTGAAGTTGAATTGTGGTTAAGTTGCTCAGTATCTCTGTGTGCGTGCATGTGTTCTGCAGGTGATCACCCTCTGTGTAGCATTCCAATTGAAAACATTCTGGCAGTGGAAAGACTGGAGGAAGAATCCTTTAAGATGAAAAATGTAAGTAGGCCATCTTCATTAATTTGCTTGTTAGGCTGGTCTAGATCACCAGCCTAATCGCCTTTTTCCCTTTTGTAACCTGGATTGGGTTTCTATTGAAAGATGTACAACCACAGCTGCTGGTTCTGTATATAGTAGCAGGAGTTTCCAAAAGTACAGCTCATTCAGATTCTTAACAGCCCAGTCAGCAGTCCTTGGGTTTCGTGATCTGCAGCACACTCAGTACTGACCACTGCTGATCAGCTGTCTGGGCTCCGTAATGTCACACACAGGTAAGATAATCGAGTCCCTGCCCTTTCTGCCAGACCTCTCTGTTGGGAAGGAACTGGCTGCTTATAATTGTGAAGGATCACGCCTTCTTTCAGGATTTCTTTATCGGTTAACAAAAGTGCATATATATTTGGGTTAGGTCATGTGCCAAAACAACATCTGTGCTGTGCCAGTAGGGTTTAGCATTTTGATAGCCACAGTAGGGAATAAAATACAGCTGTATTTCTCACGTGTGGAACACCACTGCCAATTTCTGTATGCGAGACATAACCATCTATTGTGTAAGAGCAGTTCTTAGACATGATCAGTTTAGGTGATAGTGGGAGCCTTTTTCATACTCTTCTGCCTGTAAAGCTGATTACAGTCCTTAAAAAGTTTTGTTTAAAAATAAACAAAAAAGCAGCTCGGTGTTTTCCAGTTCTGAACATGCATCTACTACAGACTTCTTTATACACATAAATGGTTGTGGCTGCTTGTTTTTCTGTCTTGAAGTCCTTCCTGACATCTAGACTGCTTGTGGACACCACGCAGGGCAGTGCTTAAAACCTGCCCTAGATACTAGGTTTCTCAAACAGCACTTTGTTAAAGTGAAACGCAATGCTTGACTCCTCAGTATTTTCCCTGTTTCAGGTATTATTTTGGTAGCGTATCTCTCTCTCTTAAAAGATGGAGTAAGTTCACTTGCTTCTAGAGCACATCTTCATTGTAAAGTAGCTGGCTCTGGTATTTATAACTCATGTTAATTACACAGGCAAAAGGAACCAAACTGCAAAATAATTCTCGAGCTATCAGAAGGCAGCTGTAACATGTGATGAACTGTTGCCAGCTGTACTCCACAAAATGACTTGATTGAACTAAAAGTAGCCACACAGTTGAGATTAAAACTTACTGTGTGTGGAGAGGAGCTGAGCTACGATTCTGATCAACTCTTCAGTGACAGCAGTCTTTAACTTATGCTGAGTCTGCTGGGATAGAATACATCCAAAATATTGTAAAGATTTATTATAGGAAAAAAATATCCCTTTGTTGTTAACATCAGAAACTGAGGGCTATTTTGGTTGCTTCAATTCAGTATTACCTAGGAAATGAAGGTGACTACATCCATTCTGGAAACAAAAGTTCAGAGTTTTTCATAAGCAGTAGAAAATACCATTATCACCTTCCTATGCTAATATATTCCCATTTATCTTGCCCTCCATAAATAGAGTACTGCAGAATTCTCAAAACACCACAGCAGATGTATTTGCGATGGATATTCCATCATGGGCGCTAAGTGTGATTAAAGATCCACATTTTCTGTAAATAGTCTCTATGTATCTGTGCTCTGAATTGCACCAAGTGTGTCTTCCTCAAGCCTGATAAATCTGCCTCTCTGGCAGTAAGGCCAGTAGTCTTCATCTTCCTTAAGCACAGTTTGGGGGCTGTGGGGGTGGCTTTAAGTACTGTTAAGGTCTTCTGTGTTGTTAGAGAAGCAACTGGTGGTTTTGGTAGTGTAAAAGTCTTGCAACCACTTGAAATTCTTGGCTTAGCTGGGGGCTTCTCAGTAACAGTTGCCATATGTTAGTTCACTTAGGTTGGTATCCCCTTACACAAAGCCATACTCCTTAAATCTGTTCCTTTGTTGTAATGCAAAAGGCTCCATTTACCCCAGCAGGACATTAAAATTCTTTTCCCTGTAGTTCTGTGTTAAAGGAGGATTGAGCTGCAAGCTCCTGTCTTCCTCATTCCTTCCTTCTCTATTCCCCAAATTCAAATTGCCAGTTATGTCCTGAAAAGTTTTATTAAAAGGACTCTCTCTTTGGTGTGTATTTTGGCAGCACTGGACCAATCACACTAGCAGCTCCTGCACTGCTCTTGAGCGTTGCACCTTTCTAATTATTGTCTGACATCTATAAGGATACTAAACCCAAGGAAATGGCTGTTAAGCTTTCCCTTTCCTGTTAGAAGAGATGTCGTAATTAAAAAACCTGTTCGTTCACAAATTAGCAAGCCTATTTGCAAGCTACTTTGAGGGATGTGCACCCAAAAGTGTCACAAGGGAAGAAGAGACTGCACCTGGTGCCAGTCTGCAACATTGTCCTGACCAGCTAGGTGCAGAATTCCAGCCAATGTTTTGGGTCTTTGTAATAGACAAAAGTTAATTTCAGGTTTTGTGGATGGTGGGGGTTGGTGGGTTTTTTGTTTGGGGGATTTTTTGTGCCTCTTTGTTTTTCTTTTTAAAGTAGCACAGAGAAACCAGCTGTTTGGAAAATATTATTCCACATGAGATGGGCAGTGTAATGTCTAATGATTTAAATAATTGAATGAAGAAGTAGAGGGGGGGAAGGATACTTTAGGAATACCTGAGAGAGAGAAAGGAAAATCCATTAAAATTAAGTATTTCAGAAGCTAGAGGAAACCAAGATGGTTGACATTTGCCTTTCCAAAATTTGCAGTTACGATCACTAACTTGAACTTAGCTATTTTCGGTGCATGATCAGTGTAATCAAGTAATAAGGCTGTGCATCAGAAACTTGCTTCTTCAAGAGGAGGAAAATAAGTGCGGTTGTGTCATTTTTGGTTGCAAGCTGTTTTGAACAGGCAGGAGAGCTCTAGTTTAGATTTTCAGTGGCCAAGCCATAATACAGAATTAATGTGTAATTATTTGAACCACCCGATTGCGATTAAAGAGAAACTGTATTGCTGTGATTTGCTTATAGCAGCTGTAGTTGGGTGCCGAAGCATGGAAGTTATTAAAAGGAAAGAATCATGCTGAAAGAGGTGTTAAAAAGACTAGAGATATGGTAGTATTAAAGCAAAGCTGTCACTAAGGCTGGATCCAAACTCCCGTTTTTCTCTTTTCTGCCCCCTGCTGACTAGCATTTCCTTTCAGCCCTGCGTTGGGTCCCTCTGACAGCCTTCCAAAACCTGGAGCTGCAACATTACTAAAATTGCATCCCTGAGGCTGACAACTAATCTTGTTGATATTAGCTGTTTGTAAATCATGCCCTACAGAACAGTATCTTACTCCTTGTACCAGGTGAAAGGTCTTGTTGTTTTAAGCGCACATTTGCAGCTTGGTTTTGTGTTGAAATGTGTTTGCTGGTGCATTCTTTCAGTATGCTGTGTTTTTCTTTTAATAAATAACCAGTCTGAGCCCAGTGTTAGGTTCACCAGCTGATTCTAGTGGTTTATTCTGTGGCTTATTTCCTTATTTGCAGATGTTCCAGGTGATCCAGCCTGAAAGAAGAGTTCTGTATATCCAAGCAAATAATTGTGTGGAGGCCAAGGACTGGATTGATATCCTCACCAAAGTTAGCCAATGCAACAAGAAGCGCCTCACGGTCTACCATCCCTCTGCCTATCTTAACGGCCACTGGCTTTGCTGTAAAGCTACTGCGGATAATACTCCTGGGTGCACACCCTGCACAGGGTAAGGATTGGTAACGTGCCATTGCTCTAGGTATTGTCAGGGGTACGTGCATCTCTGCAGCCTGACTTGCAGGTACGAAGTTACCAAGAAGATCTGCTAGGTACGCAGGCATCGTGGTGTTTTCGAAGGCCATCTTTATTGTTATTTTTGATACTGTCGGTATCTGCGTACCTTGGTCAAAATGTTCAAATTTTTAGAGTTCCAGACATCGATAGGAATTGACTGCTGGATAAGATACTTTGGGTTTGATCATGTCATTAGTAAAAATGTCAGAAATCCCTTCAATACCCTGTTTGTAAATTCCTGAAACAGACATTCATCTGCTTCTAGATTTAATTCTAAACTAATCTTTTCATAAGGGGCCCACTCATGGTCTCTGTTAAATGAAGAGATACTGTCTGGTTTGTAGGAAACTATTTGCATCTAAAATGGGTGAAGCAACAAGTCTGTAGTGGTAGTCAGTCTCAGAATACGAGACCTGGATGGTTGGGAGTTCAGTGCTTTGGCTCCTCCATCTGGTTATAGCAGATTAATTCACCCGAGTGTCTGGATACTGATACAGTCCTCTCTTTCAAGTCAGAGTGAAAGCATGCAGGATAAATCTAGGCATAAAGAAGTTTGAACTTGTCTGTCTTTTCTTCTGGGAAAAATAGGAAGTTTTGAGCTCCATTATACACAATCTGTTGGCTTTCACAAGTACTTTTACTTTCATCATTGTTAAGTGCTTTTTGTGCCATAATATACTGTTTAGCATATAACTTCTGCCTCTCTCCTGATACCTTGCAGAGGCCTGCCAGCAAATATACAACTGGACATAGATGGCGATAGAGAAACCGAGCGTATCTACTCTCTTTTCAACTTATATATGCCAAAATTGGAGAAAATGCAAGGTGAGGATGAAAGATCATTGCATCTCCAATCCACTTAGCAAGTGAGAAATTGTATGTTCTATCTAGACCAGCCATGCAAATCACATCCTAGAACACTGGCCATTATTTAACTTGTTTCCCCTTCTGCTGTCTTGAGGCAATTGTGTGAATTATTTTTGGTGCAGCGTGCAGTCTCATGGTCTGTACAAAGTTCTTTGCATAATAAACAGTTGTTTTAAATACAGTCTTAACCACAGCATCCTAAAATAGCGTAAGCACAGAGCATTGTTTGGATGCTCCGAATTGACAAATCAGAGTGTGCGCTAAACCAGAAGTTTACTGATCCTGAAAAGAAGCACCAGCAAAGTTGAGGTTTCAGTGGAACATGGTTTTGTGTTACCAGAAGTCATGTGCACATTCCCTGATTCAGATCCCAAGAACAGGCCGGATACAAATGGTTTCTTTAGGAAGGCTCTTTCGGAATTTTCAGTGCAAGATAACCTGTGGATGTCTGTGAAGGCTGGAAAGTGAAGTTTGGGCTAGGAAACCCTCAGGAGCTGAGGGGAGCAGAGATGTGCCATGAAGGATAAAAGAAAGAAGAGACAGCAGAGGAAGTTAGTACTGGTAGGCATGCCAAGAAAAGTATCCGGTGTACACGGTGCCAGACTTGAAATCCCAATTTAGCACAGGGAGTGGCAGGGAAGCCTTCACTGTGGCACTGATCTTTAAATAGCACTTTATTTTATAATACAAGATAAGCCAGTGGTGTCAAACACACAGATTGGAAAGCACTTTAATCCATTCCTGGCCGCCATGCAATTGCAAACTTAAGATCCCCACCACTTCCGAGCTGTCCGAGCTGTCTGAACCAATGCCCAGCTTTCCTCTGTTCCGAATCCTCACTGCCAGAGCCAGCATCGAGTTTCGGTGTCGGGGGAAAGGACGCAGGTCTGGCGCAGACAGTGCAGCAAGGAGAAGGTAACTCGAAAGCTGAAGCTGAGACAGCAGTAAAGCTAGAAAGCTAGGGAAAAATAGAGACAAAATAAAATATTCTCTTTCCCCTTCTAATACACTTGGCTGCAATGCAGAAATAGATCACATGATGAATGTGTTGCAAATGTCCGTGTGTAATCAGTGTCCTGATCTCTTAGCCAGGAAGGCTCCCTGGTAGGATAAGAAGGTAGTATGACTTGCCGCTTCTTAGGACAGGCAGGCAGACAGTAGTCATGGCATATTCTGTTTATGCTTGTTGTATGAATCTTTTAGAGGTAATGTGGTAAAACATCTTCCATGAGCACTTGAAGCTGTAATTGTTTTTAATTCAGTCTGTTGTGCAGTGCGGTACTTGCTGCTTAGCTGCTGCTTAGGGATGGAACCTGTCCTTCTGAGAAGTCAATACTTGACCAGGTGCAGACCAACCCTGCAGCACAGTACCGGAGTTAGGTCTGTGCCAGAGTTCCCAGAGTGTTTGCATGGGGTACTCCTGGTGGTAACCGAGAGGAAAGCATTGCCTGTGCAGCAAAGGACAGCTTCGCACCAAGCCAGGAGCAGCTGCCAGGCTTGCTGCCCTCTCCTTAGTAGACGAGGAGGAGGGAACAGGCATGGGCCAACCCCTGTGGCTACCAACAGCCCAGCAAAAGGACGAGGAACTGCTCCTTCTGCTGTTGCTGTCAGCCACAGTTCTGCGGTGGTCATACAGAAGCAAACCAGCGAACTGTAGGAATCTTGGACTAAGTATTTTTAGCCTGCATGTCTTGCTTTTTTCCCCTGCCTCTCTGATACCTTTTTTTTTTTTTTTTTCCCCCCAGAGGCCTGTGGCAGCAAATCTGTGTATGATGGACCTGAAGAGGAAGAATATTCTACATTCATCATTGATGACCCTAAGGAGACATATAAAACACTAAAGCTGATTATTGAAGGTGTTGGAACTTTAGAGCAGGAGCATGCTCAATATAAGAGGGATAAATTTAAGAAGACAAAATATGGAAGCCAGTAAGTGTAATGGGTTGTCCAAACAGGGGAACAGTCCTGGGAAATGGCATTTCCCTTCCTTATGTTCTGACCTTCACCGTATTTGTGTTCAGAAAAGATCCTGCAAATACATACAAAGTAAGATTGTCAGTTAGGATTTCTATCACAGTATTTTAAAGGACTGTAAGGAATATTTAAATGCTTATTTTTTTAATGCAGTTTCATTCTTAAAAGTTAGTGTGGGGTTTTAGGAGTGGGGTTTTGGGGTTTTTTTGTAAAAATTTTTTTATTTTGAACCTTTGCTTGTGGAATGAGTGGTAAATACCAGAAGATACATGTATTTACTGACGTCTTTTGGAGTGTTGGTGTAAAAACGGGAAGAGTGACTGATACAGCCACATGACTGTATTTTGTGTACATGTAAATAAAGGAGCATTCTGCACAAGGCTGACAAAAGAGAGGATCAATACAATCAGTTAGCTTTGCCAGTTCAAGTAAGATGCAGTATTATCATTACAATTAGAATTTTGAAAATCAAACTTGGGGAAAAGGTTTTGTCTGTTCACGTTCCATTCTGACATCTTGATGTCCTGACAGAAAATTCTATGTATAGTACTTTTTCCTTTTTTTTTCTTTTCTTTTAGAGAACATCCCATCGGTGACAAGAGCTTCCAGACATACATCAGGCAGCAGTCAGAGATCTCAGCACATTCTATATGAAGTGCAAAGGAAATCACAGGACAGTGCTGAAGGGTCAATCAGTGAAGCTAAATAGCAAAACAAAAGGGAAGCCACACATGTAGCAAAATGTATGGATAAGTGTCAAGCTTACAAACTTTGAGACTTGGTAAATGTATTCTCTTTTCAACAAACTTATAATAGTTGCTATGCACTTTATTCATCTGGTTATTGACAGATGATAAAACTCTGCCTTCTAGGCAGTTGTTGTCGTGTATTTTTAAATCTGCTTCGGTTTCTTGGAATCTAGTGATCAGTTCAATGATCAAGGTGTGTGGACTTCATCTTGACAACTCCCATGCAATTCCTTATGTTTCAGAAACCAAGCATGCTGCTAATAAGCAGCATTTTCTAGAATGGTGGTTTGTTACTGTTTTTTGTTCCTGTTTAATGTATATTATGCCACACCCCTGCGTGCTCTCTTAGGAAAAGCTTAGTAACACTTTAATTCTAATGCCTGCGTTTAGAAAAGAGGCAGAGAAAAAACCCTCTGGTGTAATCTTTTGCGTTGTAGCTTGTATTCTGAGCAGGCCAAGGAGCAGGCCTTTTGTTTTTACAGCAGCATAATTTTTGCTAAATGTGCACAGTTTTTAATAGAAATTCCGATCTGAATGGTACTCTTGATATTTTTGAGATACAGAGTCATTTCTCCAGAGACATTCAGCAGACTTTGTTTTCGAAGATGCAATCTCAGCGGTATAATAAAACTGACTCAGAAATGTGAGTAAGAAAGAAATGAACTTATGTCAAAGCTACATGTCTCTTTTATGCAGTCCAGTGAATGGTAATCTTTGAAACTCTGCCAGCTGAAAGGCAAGGTAAGCTGATTTTTATGACCTTTTACCACCACAGCGAGAAGGATGGATAGAACACGAGTCTGGCAGCTGACACACACAGACTCCCAGGCACAAAAGCTGTCACGATGCGTTTTCTCTGAAAGAATGTTCAAGCACTGGAGTCCACGCTATCCTAGTACCACTTGTTTTTCTGGAAAATAGATTTCTACTTTTCCAAGAATGTTTTTAAATACTTTTCTAAAGAGACTTGTTAAAGGCTATTTAGTATATTAACATGCATAATGGTAACTTGTTAATATTCTGAGTGCAGTGAAAATGGAATGAGCTGTGTATCTCACTAATACCAACAAAAGTCATTAAGGAGGGGAATAAAGATCTGCTAAATATGATATATATTTATGTATGCTGTTTAGTTGTACACCGTAACTTTCCTCTGTGTTAGGGTCTGATTTACAAACATCTAGCTTTGATGGCACAGAAGCCTGCATGATGGACTTTAAGCTTCTGTGGGGTAGAAGCTAACGTTGGTTTTCAGCTGAATTGGAACAGAAAGCATTGAACTATCAATCAGTTTAATGTGAAGAAACCTGTATTTTTGCTTAAAGTGTTACAGAGTTAACTGTGTCCTCATTGCATCTGACATGATTTAAGATCGCTGAAGTACTTTGAATGCCTCTGTTTGTTAGTGATGCTCTTAGGAATGAGGTTTTCTTTTTGTTTGAGTGTATAGTAGACCACCTCCTAGTAGATGATAAATGATCTTTAATTCATCTTCACCCAGCAGACTGGGGAAAAGGAAGTAATGCAGCATTGCAGAGATGCATTTTGGACTCCAAGCTTTTAGCTGCCATGAACTGCATTTTTTAACATGCATTTGTAACTTAATATTGTTTATAAAATACTAATGACCTGTAGTGTGTGTTCTAATTGCCAATTAAAAGATATGTTTTATTTCTGAAAACCGTGTGCGCATTTGGAGTCTGTTTAGATTCACTGTGCCCACTGAGGTGCCTGTTGCCTGTCGCTGTTCAGAGTTGGACCATGGATGGAGATCCTTGTGAGTGTAAATCAATCTCTGTTGGGGCTGCCGAGCCCTATCCTCGCTCCTCCTCCCATCCCCACCCCTTTTCTTGGGTCAGCGTTGCACACGTGGGACCCTGCAGTGAGCCAGACTGGGCACCTGAGCCAGCCATGAACTACTCTAGCAAAGAAAGCGGTTATCTCTCAGCTAGATTTGTGTTATTACACAGCTGTTGCTGCTGCGAGGGAGGGCTGAGACTGCGTTGAAAGGACAGGAGGAAAGAGTTGAGAGCACAGCACCCCACATGCATATTGGCTCGTGGACCTGTGGAACCACCACCCTTCTGAATAGGACTTGTCCTCTGGCAAAACCTGGGGCATGCTAAGCTTTGTGCGAGTCAGTCTTCTGGAGCTTACCAGTCCTCTCTGGATGCTCATGTGGATAAAGCTTTGGCTCCGAGATGTCACGTGCCAAGCTGCACTCGCTAGTTCTGTGGGGAGCGCTTGCAGGAAGGCTTGGCAACAGCCCCTCCAGGGTAGAAAGCTGTTGACCGGCTAATTCAGTGTGTGCTAGTCTAGCTCGTGTTCATGGTGACTCCCACTGCTGTATTGGGCGTCTCTGTCGTCACAACACCGGCGTGCATTTCTGAGAAACTTCTGGACAAAAGCTTCTGCAGGCATACTCTATAGCTGAGTGACAGTAGTGGTTTAACAGGTAGACCACATCCAGGAAAGAAAACCAAACTGATGTGGAAGACACATCACCGATGTCTTCGTGATGGTGTACTTGACCACAATTACACAAGTGTGTGTTTTTGCGGAGGAACTGTAAACTTTGCTTTAAAAGCAAACAAGGTTTTAAGTAAGATGAGATAGTAAACTGACGCAGGATTTGTAAGAAATGAGCAGAGTTAAATGCAAAATTACTGTAACACCATTCCCAGGTCTGTCTTTTTTCCACTCAATCTTATCCAGAGTATATAAACATTTTGTTTTCCTGCTAACGTGTCTTAGCTTAAGTCAATAGGAAGTCTTTGAAAGCCGCTTTTCTTACGGCATAACTTAATTAACAGGGTTGGTGAGGGGGTTGTTAAAACTGGGCTTCCAGTTCTTGCTTAGCCTCTGTCTCCTGTCTGTCTGCAGCATGTGTTTCGTATGTTGTCTTCAGAAATACTCGGCAAATTCTTTCCACAAGACAGATGCCTTGATAGGGACACTTGGGACAGCATCCCTTATATCTGGAATGAAGAAAATAACATAAAAAGAAAAAAGCATAGCTGTAAGTCAGCATGTCATGCCAGTTTTCTTTCCTTCTCTCCTCTATCCCAGCCTGAAAGGCAAAAAAATGAATGGTGACAGAAAAAGATTTAGAAGTCAGGCTGGTCTCTCCTGAGACTCCTGATGCCAAAGAAGATCCTCATGCCTCTGTTCTCCCTCACTGAACCAGCGCACGAGGGCAGGGCTGACCTGGCGACAGGACCCGAGTGTCTCTGGTCCGTGTCCATTCCAGTTCCAAGGGGGTGGCGTCTCCGGCCAGGCAAATGTCTTCCTGCATTTCAGAAGAGCTCAGACTGGGAGATTTGGGTGTGAAACTGCACACCCAAAGTCACAATTCCTGTTAGAGTTTCCTAAGGCAATGGATGGGAGTTTAGTTGACAGATAAAATCTTGTCACGTGTGTGTGTGCGCACGTGTTCTAGGTGGATGCAGTAGAGATGGAGAGCAGCTGCTGCAGTGATGACAAATCACTGTCAGGCACTTCTCATACTGTGGCTGTTGTGTCTGAAGCTGTGCTGGGGTGCAGTCAGCTGGGCGGCAGGAGTGACAAGCCTTGCACGTGCCAATGATGTCTCAAAGCTCTGTTGGCACCAGTGACGCTTGGTTCTTCACCCAGTAAGATTTTAATGAGGTCTGTGTACGGATGAGAGGGTTGAGGAACATGGTTCTTGTCTGGCAACGTTTCCACGTAAAAATGGCCAAATGGAAAAAAAGAGAAGCACAATGTGCCATGGGCATGGCATGCAGTTAACACAAAGAGCACGCACGGCCCACCACACCCTTACAAGGCTCATGGGAGTCAGCGACTGCCATCTGAGAAGCTGTGAGAAATTGGAACTTCTGTCTACACAAGAAGCTGGTTTGGTGCCGAGGCGACTGGCTGTGCGGTGCAGCTGGCTGAGGCACTTGAACGTTGATGTGATTCCCATCTCCATCCCTTCTCTGCAATACTCCATGCATTTCATGGAGATCATTTCAACTTTTAATTCCGTAAGCGTGTTTATAAAGGGCTGCGTGAGAAGCTGGCCTGGATAGCAGGAGAATGTGTGAACCCTGCCAGTCCCTGTTATTAGCTCCAGGAAATGGATGCTGCAGGAGGACTGTGGCGTAGAGCAATGTGCGGCCAGAGGCTGGGACTGATGCTGTGCAGTGCTTGGAGATAAAGTTTTAACAGCATCTTCCCGTGAGCCACCTTCTATATTCATTACGGCTGGAGACAACGGATAGCAGGCTGGCTGGAGAAGTCATTTCTCTCTGGCTCTGAGTGAGCTAATATCATTAAAACAGTAAATGAATTATTCCAAAGCTCGAGTGGGCACTGAGGAAAAGACAAACTTTTAAGACAGAAGTGCTGTATTCCTATGTGTGTATTCTGGATCTGGGCTGTGTAAGAAAAGACTGCAAGAAACCATCATGGAGCAAATAATTATTCTGGGTTCCTAAAATAACCCAAGATAAAATAGGACCCTAGGGGATTCATCTGGAGTCTAGAAACCATCCCTCCTAACTTCTGAACAAATCACACATGCCTTTCCATTTCAATTCCCATTTGTCATCTGCTGCTCCATTTGCGTCACTGATTTACCTGACATGTTCAAACCGTTGGATTTATCATGTTTAGACAGAGTTACTACTTTTAACCACAAATTTGCCTGGTGTTAGCAGGTTTGCTTTTGCCTGCAAAGCTAGTGCGGATGTGTTGATTAAACAAAAGGCTCACCAGCAGCCTGGGCTAAATGTAAAGAACGTTTAAATGATAAAAAGGGAAATCGGCTTTTTACTAGTTTGAAAATGCTGCTGTGCTGAATCTTGCAAAAAACATACCCCGGATGTACACAGTTCTGGTTAACGCTGAGGGCAAATTCTCTCCACAAGTGTGGGGCCTATATGGTATCCACCTCATTTTACTAAATTCACTCAACATCTTTAATCTCTGTTGCAGTTGCACTGTTCTGCCCTAAAACTGTCAAAAGAAAATAAGTTTTTTATTATTCACTTGAGGCCACAACAAGGTACTGCCTGGATGTGGACTCTTACGTGAAAACAAGTAATTCTTGGTAGAGGTGACAATGATGCACAGGGTTGCCATCAGGTACCAGAGGTGCGAATAAACAAATTTATTTGATTAAGAAAGGCAGGTTGAGTAAGTGTGGCCATGTATTTCCCTGGGAGGTGAACCTAAAACATGTCATCATGTTTGTGGAGAGAAATCTGCTGACATGAATAAAGGAAGCGAATTTTATGAATTTTACGGGAAGAAAAAAGGAAATACCCACTTGATGAAAACAGAAACTGTGCACAAAAAGGCCACCCTGAAACACCTTGTGGTTTTGTTTCATTTAAAAATAGGTTCATCTGTGATGTCTGGAGATGCAGATGCCTTGCCTCCCACTGAGCCATGGTGTTGTGCGCACAACCCCGTGGTATGTTTTCTCTTGTGGTAAAGCCTCCTGAAAGCGATTCCTTCTCCCCTGCCCCAGCCGTGGTTCGGCATCCCATTAATAGCACTGATGCAACTGAATCAGTGAAATCATTGGGAGTTGGTAAGAAGGAGGGATCTTGGAAAAACCTGGATAATCTACCTGACCAGGTTTACAGCAGCCTCACAAACACTTGCATCAGCATGCCTGGCGAGGTGGGGACGAGCCACCTCACACAGCTTTGCCACCAGAGCGCATGCCTTTCCCAGCTGTGCTCCAAATCCTTTTGTTTCCAGCATCATCCCACCTCATGCTCCCTATTCACATCACCAATGCACAGTGTCATCTGTGACGCGACCTCCTTCTGAAGCCACTATTGCCTGTGTATAGGTCCCCTCAGCCCCCCACAACACACTGTTGCTTATCACCAACAGTACGTGAGGTGGTAGGTGACCCCTGTTCCTGTGGTCATCTTTTGCGTTGCCTATGTGTGCAGCCTGGTGGCTCCCCAAGGGTCCTGCTGTTCTTCCAGCACAAGAACCAGGCAAAATCAGAGAGAAATTCAGCTCTGAGATCTGGCTTTGCCTACTGGCACAGTACCGTGTTTCCTCAGGGTTTACCAAGGAGTTGGATCTATGACGGTTGCTCTGGCACCATCCCCACCAGATCTTTGCTGCCTTGAAATCCCCTGATGAAGAGCGCCACGGGCTCAAAGGCAGGTTTCCCACTGGAGAGCCGTGCCTGAACCTCATTTGTTTGAAAAATACCATCCTTTTTCACTCCAGAGAAGTCCCCTTGGCATGATTTTTATCGAAGGTGCCAGGAGGGGGGGGACGGTAAGCAAAAAGCCCTCGTGCAGAGCAGTTTGGAGAGCCCTCTGAGGGGACTTGGCACTGATTCTCAGCAGAGGGTAGCTGGTGCCCAAGTTATTTTGGTGTCAGAAGGAGCTGGCCGATGCTTTTGCTTTATTTAGAACTTGCAAGTGCAGAAGAGAGGGGGTGAAGAAACTGGCAGGCCTGGGCAGGTAGTAAGTATCAGCCAGTGGCATTAAGAGGAGGAAGGCCTGGAAGTCCTCATGGAGGCTGGAGGAAGGCAGCACCCATCTTCCTGGGCTGGAAGGCACCAAATGCCCTGGTGTTTGAGAGCCTGCTTGGCTCTTAGGGTGGGACCTTACACAGTCAAGGTAAAGCGAGAGGCCTTGGGCAGGCACAAGCAGAAGAATCGGAGCTCATTTTTTTGCCCAC